CTTAAAATAAAAATGTATGAATAACTACATGATATTTCCGAGGGTTCACTTTAATCAAAAACATGAAATAATAACATTTCCTCGATAAAAAAAAATCACGAAGTAACCTCTAATTCTAATATTTTTCCGTTTTGTACTGGATATGGTAATGCCTATTGCGACAAAAATTTGATAATTAATTATACTTATACAAGAGTAAAAGCTTTGTTTAGGCATTTTATGTAATTCCTTTTAGTTTTGGATTTAGACGATATAACAGTTTTGGCGCATACTACGTTTTTATTCCGCGCAAGAAGTCATCGTCCGTCGCACGTTGCGGGAGCTTCAAGCATATTTCTATTTCAGACATCAGTCGCTACCGCTCCGTTGAGACGAGAGGACTGCGCTCAAGTGTTTAGGCGCGCTGAGTTATTATCAATTCAATTATTAGATTATTAGGATAGGAGGTAATAAATTAAATATATAATAGGTAGCTATTTACTTTTGCTTTTTGTTATATTATTCTTCACAATAAAAAATTCTGATCATTTTCCCCTAGTGTAATTATGATATCTTCCAAAAGTCTAGATAGACGTATGGACTACATAATGATCTTGCGAGTATTCTATAAAAATATTAAAATAATAGTAATTACATTCTCCATAATTCTATGATCACTCATAAGTAACGCGGGCAGTATAGTTTGGTATAGTATATGCAAAATAAACACAAGCTTTTAGTTGGTGTCTGTGTTTGTTCGATGAAATATATTTATGTCGATTTCGAAGCTATTTAAGTATGTCCATTAGGTATTTAAAACTAAAAAAAGGTTATCAATTCGACTATTATGTTTTTTTTTGTGTGTTTGTTACGCAATTACTCCATTTATTTTTATTGTTCTTTTTTTATTTGAAAAATTATACTCCTGAGGTGGTCCCATTTAAATTTGGTGAAGATCTGATGCTGGTCTTCGGAGATATACAATGGAACTCTTCAAAAATAGACGAAATCGGTCGTGATGGCTGCAATCGCTTGGATGTTAATATGCTTGTCAAATATTTTTATAGGATATTACAAATAAAAATGGAAAAATAAAAAAAACTTTTTTGCAAAAAAAAACCGACATCAAAATAAACACAAATCGAACACAAAAAGAAAAACACTAAAAAGTGAAAAATAACTCTAGCTTCAGAAGCCGGTGACAAAAATACCAAATCAATCAAACAAAGGTCAAGCATCAGAAGCCGGTGACAAAAACACCACATCAATCAAACAAAGGTCAAGCTTCGAAGTCGATGGTTGTGGGCTTCGGTTTCCGCATTTAGACTCAGAGTGGTCCTTTATGCGTCGAGGATTGGTTGACTAGGTGAGCCAGCCAAACTCCTTCCAGAAGCGCAGAAGCCTCCTGGGGCGTTCACATGCTTCTAGGAGCGACTTTATATCAGGAATGATACTTGCCCGTTGCCACTCCCTCGCATTCCAGGACTACGTGGACGGCCGTTTCTTCACCTTCCAGACATCCCCTGCACAGGGGACTGTCCTTCGCATTGATTATGAATAGTTGTCGGTTCAGGGCTAGATGTCCTGTAATAGTTCCGACAACCATTCTGATTTCCGGTCTGCTAAGACTGATCAGTCTGCAGGTGAGTCGTGGTGTGACTTGATTCAGCATCAGTTTGGACTGTCTGCAGCCGGGTGAGTTTTTCCACCTCCGGTTGTGTGCTTCACAGGTCCGTTGTCTGACCCAGCATCGTATTTGGTTAAACGATATGGGCAGGAGTGGGGTTGGGCCAGAGGTTGGGGTTGCCGAGCCCCTCCTTGCCAACTCATCTGCGGCATCGTTCCCGTGTGAGTTACTGTGCCTTTTAATCCATTGGAGGAGTACCCCATTGAATATAGCGAGCTGTTCCAGTGCTTGGTGGCATTCGAAGACAATACCAGAGGTCATTGTGTTGCCCTCCTATGCCTTTAAGACGGCCATGCTGTCGGATATTATTCGGATGTTGTAGTCCTTGATACCCCTTGACATGGCCGTTGTGGCAGCGTAAGTTATTGCCACACATTCACTTTGAAATATGGAACTGTGTTGGCCTAACGCTAGTGATATGTTTATATTTAGGAGAAAGCTCCGGCTCCAGTTCCTGACCTAGTCTTGGAACCGTCCGTGTAAATTCGGACTTCGTTAATGCCGGATTGATCTCGGTCATTTCCATGTATCTGGATGTAGTATCTTCTTGTGAAGATATGGTGTTTTGGGATTCTATCGCTTGGAGCTGCTATCAGTGGTTCGTATTCCACCAATTGATCCCATAATTTGGAGTGCGATCCCTCACTTTTGTGCCATAGACCCAGGTGTTTGAGTCTAATCATCGCCATGGCGGCCTCCTGCAGTATGAATAGATCCAGGGGTGGCAGACCAAGAGCCACCTCCACTGCGGCAGTAGGCGTTGTGCGCATACAGCCAGTGACCGCAGAGCATGGGAGTCGCTGGAATTGCTGCAGTTTGTTTATGACAGTGCTTAGCTCTGTTCTCTGCCACCAGGCAACAGCAGCGTAAGTGATTAATGGTCTTATGACTGTCCTGTATAGCCATAAAGTAATTTTGGGTGATAGTCCCCAGCTTTTGCCGAGTAGCCGCTTGCATTGGCAGAAAATAATGCAGGCTTTATTCAGTTTTTCATCGAGTTGCTTATTCCACAGGAGTTTACTGTCCAGTATTACTCCTAGGTATTTGACCTCTTTGGTAAGAGTAAGTTGTGTTCCAAATAGCTTGGGAAGTCTGAGATTTCCTAGGCTGCGTTTGTTTGTGAACATGATCATCTCTGTTTTGGATGGGTTCACTGTCAAGTTGTGTGCTACGCACCATTGTTCCACGATCTTCAGTGCAAGTCTCATTTGATCGCATGTAATGCTCTCAAAAAGACCGCTGATGAGAATAGTAAGATCGTCTGCATAGCCTATTGTGAGGAATCTTTGGTCATTAAGTTAAATGAATAGCTTAACTTTATTAAGTTGAATTGAATAGCTCTATATCTTAGCATGCTGTCGATCTACCCTGAGATTGTGGAATCAACACCATGCCTAGACAGAGCTTGGCTAATGCTGGTGAAGTTGGTCTTGTCAAAGGCTCCCTCGATATCGATAAAGGTGGCCAGTGTTGACCTTTTGTGATTTAGATTGTCTTCTATATATGAAACAACTCGATGTAGGGCCGATTCTGTTGATTTACCCATCGAGTATGCGTATTGATTGAGGTGTAGAGGGTGACTGACTAACGCAGTTTTCCTGATTTCCCTATCTATTAGCCTCTCGAGAACCTTTAGTAAGAAAGATGTGAGACTAATAGGTCGGTGTGTTTTGGGTTGTGTGTAGTCACCTTTACCAGGTTTGGGGATGAAGACTACTTTAACTTCTCTCCATTTCAAGGGGATGTACTGATGCGCCAGGCAGCCCCTATAAATTTTTACAAGATGGTCCAGTAGTGTCATATCACACCATCTCAGTAGGCCTATGAAGACACCATCTAGTCCTGGCGCCTTGAATGGTAGGAAGCTGTTAATTGCCCATCTTAGTTTGTCATGGTTGACAACTTTGCGGGCCGTATCCCAGTCTGTATCATCTGGTGGGTTTTCCCATCTGTCTTCCCATTTTTCCATCACATCTGATATGCGACATCCAGGGAAGTGTGTTTTTAATAATAGCTCTGAGGCTGCCGAGTCTGTTTTGGTATACTCACCATCAGGCTTCTTCAGTGAGCCAAGATTGTGTTCGCCTCTACTACACAGTATGTTTTTGACTCTATTAGCCTGGTTGTTGTTCTCTATGTTAGTACAGAAGTTTCTCCAGCACTCAGTTTTCCTGGTTCTGATTATCTTCTTATATCGTTGTCGGGCCTGCGTGTAGGCATCCCAATGTTGGTCTAATCGCGAGTTTTTTGCTTTATTGAACAACTTTCTCACTTTACGACGTAGTCTTTCCAGTTCCGGACCCCACCATTGGTGTTTGTTCTGTGGTCCAGTTCTGGGTGTGGAAAGTGGGCATGTTTGTTCAAAGCAATGGATCAGTGTCTGTGTAAGGTTGACAACATGACTGTCAATGTCCTTAACAGTCCCCGTAGCGTATGTTGGGTTGATGCTTCGCAGTTTCTCCGCAGTAAGATGTTCATACCGTTTCCGGTCCATTATGCGGGGATTCCGTCGGGGATCGGGTAGTTTAAGTTTCATTTCAAAGTTAAATTTGATCCAGCGATGGTCTGAGCACGATGCTTCGTTCGAAACATGCCAGTTCGATATGTGTTGCGATGCGTGCTCACTTGCTAAAGTAAGATCAATTATAGTTTGGGCCCTGGATGTGACAAATGTCGGCTCCGAGCCCACGTTGATAATGTTAAGGTTAGTTGATAATAGGAACGATTCGAAGTCGGTGACAAAAGCACTAAATCTATCAAACAAAGGTTCCTTGTATGACGAGGCAAATCTTTAAAGAACCTGAAGAGAAAATATGTAGTGGGCCCTTAAACATATCACGTGACCAGCCCGGTCTGAGCAGTACTGCTTCTGAAAGATTTATAATTGAAGGAGACCGAGACCAACCCGGTCCGAGCAGTACTGCTTCTGAAAGATTTATAATTGAAGGAGACCGAGATCTCGTTAGTTCAAATAATTTTGCAGCTGGACCCCATAGCCCTTTATTACAAGAAATTATTATACCAATTACGGAATATTGATAAGAAAGACGCGATTGAATATGATTTTTATTATGATTTTTTATTGATTGATATTTGATATGATTGATTGATTGAATATTTGAAATAAATATAATATTATTTTTTGGTATTGATTTTTTATTGATTCGTGTTCAGTATCAGTGGTATAGTCACCTCCTACTAACTTACTATTTACGTATTATTCGTGTACACAAAACATTTCGTAATATTGTATAACGCAGTCATAGTTTGAATACAGTTGTTTCATCTGATTATTATACGTATACTACAGAAGATACCAACTCGGCTCCAAGCCATGACAGGATCTGAAACGTTCCAGTCAAAACTGGAAAACCGATTCGCTGCCGTGGAAACCACAATCGACGTAAACCAGAACCTCAAAAATGTGGTTCAGATCCTCAGGGAAGAAGGTATGAGATTTTGTGAAATGCAGCGTAAGGGCAGGAAGTCGAAGCTTTCAGAAAGGACCCTAGGGCTGATGAAGAAACGACGTGAAAACCCACCTGTCACTTTGTCGGCAAAGCGGACTCTAAACCGAGAGATCAGTAAACTCGTACGACACGACCTCCGGTGCTCCAATACTCTTTCAATTGAAAGAGCGATCGAGCAAAATCGGGGGTCAAAAGTGTTCGTACAATCTCTTGGAAGAAGCCACCTGACAAAGTTGACTACAGAAAGTGGAGAAGTCGTTGCTTCGAAGCCGGCAGTCCTTTTGGAAGTGGAAAGCTTCTATGGCCGGTTATACGCTTCGCATGCATCTCGACCTGATCCCGAAAATGAGAACTCTAGAGCCACATTAACACGTCACTACACCGAAGACCTGCCAGAAATTAGCATTGACGAAATCGAGATGGCTCTTGGACAGCTGAAAAATGGAAAAGCCCCTGGAGAGGATGGCGTTACAACAGAGCTGCTGAAGGCCGGGGGTAAACCCGTACTAAGGGAGCTCCAAAAGCTCTTCAACGCTGTCCTGTTTGAAGGGAGAACTCCAGAAGCGTGGAGTAGGAGTGTGGTCGTCTTGTTCTTCAAAAAGGGTGACAAGACCAGGTTGAAGAACTATCGACCCATATCCCTTCTAAGCCACGTCTACAAGCTGTTTTCGAGAGTCATCACGAACCGTCTTGCGCGAAGACTCGACGAATTCCAACCACCGGAGCAAGCTGGGTTTCGGAGCGGATATGGCACCATAGACCACATCCACACAGTGCGGCAGATTATACAGAAGACCGAAGAATATAATCAGCCCCTGTGTCTAGCATTCGTGGACTATGAGAAAGCCTTTGACTCGATCGAGATCTGGTCTGTTCTGGAGTCCCTGCAGCGTTGCCAAGTAGATTGGCGATACATCAAAGTGATGAGATGTCTCTACGAAGCCGCCACCATGTCCGTCCAAGTACAGAATCAGCAAACAAGGCCCGTACCATTGCATCGAGGAGTGAGACAAGGGGACGTTATTTCCCCGAAATTGTTCACAAATGCAATGGAGGACATGTTCAAGACGCTGCACTGGAAAGGGCGTGGCATCAATATCAATGGCGAATACATCTCTCACTTGCGATTTGCAGATGACATCGTCATCATGGCAGAGACGTTGCAGGACCTACAGCAAATGCTGAATGACTTAGCTGACACTTCTGTACGCATCGGCCTACGGATGAACTTGGATAAAACCAAGGTCATGTTCAACGAACATGTACTACCGGAACCGATTGCGGTACACGGTGCCGTTCTCGAAGTTGTTCAAAATTATGTGTACCTCGGGCAGACATTGCAGTTAGGTAGAAACAACTTCGAGGACGAGGTGAACAGAAGAATTCGGTTGGGTTGGGCAGCGTTTGGGAAGCTACGTCGAGTCTTCTCATCGTCGATCCCACAGTGCCTTAAGACGAAAGTCTTTAATGAGTGCGTCCTACCCGTCATGACATACGGAGCTGAAACGTGGACACTTACGGTACGGCTGGTCCACAAGTTCAAAGTCGCTCAACGTGCTATGGAAAGGGCTATGCTCGGCGTTTCTCTAAGGGATCGCATCAGAAATGAGGTGATCCGGCAGAGAACTAAGGTCACCGACATAGCGTACCGGATCAGCAAGTTGAAGTGGCAGTGGGCTGGCCATATTAGCCGCAGAACCGATAACCGTTGGGGAAAACGAGTTCTTGAGTGGAGACCGCGTCTCGGCAAACGTAGTGTAGGACGCCCACAGGCCAGGTGGAGTGACGATTTGCGCAAGATGGCTGGCAGGAGCTGGATGCGAGAAGCCCAAAATCGATCTAAGTGGCGTGCAATGGGAGAGGCCTATGTCCAGCAGTGGACTGCGATAGGCTGATGATGATGATGGATGATGACAGAAGATACGCGTCGAGCGAGCGCGTAGGTACACGCGCGATCGTTTTCGATGTGAGGGGAGCGGGCAGGGGAGCGCGCGTGAATTCTTAAATTTTGCTGGCTTTATACGCGCTCTTAAGGCGACATCGCTTATCCGAATTGCAGGCCATACCATTATGGGTGAACAAACAGTTTTTACAAATATTATATTTTTCCACTTTTCTAATTTTATTGCTATTTGGCATGTTTAAAAACTTTTGACAATGTATACCATTGTCAAGAGTTTTTGATGATGACCCATGATTTTCTTCACAAATGAGACATTTCGTGGTATGAGAGTAATTACTTACTTGTTTCTAAGAGTTCGACGAGACTTTATTTGCTGGGAATGACTGCTTATTATACGATACCTTTACCTTGCTGTTGTTTCGATCCTAATGCTGTAGATAAGTTTAGTTATGACAGAAGAGAATTTGAGATCTTGTTTAATTTCAGATGCAAATTTGTGTCATACTTCGAAACCCATATACAGATTAACAGGAGATAAAGACCTATGTCAAACAAAAGCAGCGGGCTTGAAAGTAATGATATGAATCATTACATTTATTTTTGCTGCGATCAATGCCCTTTGCGTTTAATGTGCGAAGATCAAGATACCACTAAACAACTCACGGGTGCGGGAATTGTTACTATAGATTATGGGTGTATTATTAAAACACAATATTTTACTGTGATTGAGCACAAAATGCAATCTAGCGGGTTGAACGTACAACCTGGTATACGCTTCAGTAATACCACCAATAAATCAGATTATCAACTTCCCTATTCCGCACTTAGTTCCACTGAACGAATCAGAAGTAGAAAGTTATTTTAAAGAACTGTCAAACATAGGCGAGAAAATTCGGTTTAGAGACATTTATTTCTCATAAAAAGAACAATACAGTTCACTTACATAATGAGAAAATGTAACAACACAATAAATTAGTTAAGTATCTCTGTGATCTCAATACACAGTAGTATAAAACACATATTACAGTAATACAAAACTAAAGATATACAGACAACTTCATTAGAGTCAGTACTTTATCCTAATGTAATCTCCTAATTTTTTTTTAAATTTATACAAGTTATCACTTTTAGTAATATCATCAGGTATTTCATTATAAAGTTTTATACCTTCATATAATATATTTTTCTTACCATAGTTGGTTCTAGGCTTTGTCACTTCTAGTTTTTTTCGTTTCCTAGCGTTGTATGTATAGGTTTTTTCTTTGAAGCTTAATTGTGAATGTGTACCTTGTGTTATGATTTTATGTATTAGTATACAAGTTTTAAGAATGTATAGTTGTCTAATTGTTAGGATTTTGGTATCCTTGTAGATGTTAAGTGTTGGTGTTAGGTAGTCGTAGTTATAAAGTGTTTTTATTGCTTTATTTTGCAAGATTTGAATTTCTTGGATATTCGATTTCAAAGCAGTGCCCCATATCTCAATCAGGTATTCTATATGAGGTCCAACTAGAGCGTTATAGATCATTACTCGAGCCTTACTAGGGACGCAAAAGGACATTCGACGTAGTGCACCAATAACAGGAGATATTTTGGATTTAATATATGCAATATGGTGTTTCCATGTTAATTTTGTGTCCAAAAAGAGGCCTAAATATCTTTCACCACTTGATTTTGTAATATTTTCTTTATTTATTGTTAGTTGGATTTGATGGTCAATCTTCTTATTTTTTGCAGCAATGATCATGTATGATGTTTTTTTCGTATTAATAGTTAATAAGTTAGATAGAAACCAGTTGTTTAAAATATTTAAATCATTTTGTGCCTCTTTCACGATATCTATCAGGTTAGGTCCAAAATAAAAGAGACAGGTGTCATCTGCGTAAAGTGTAATGGTGCCTGATGTTTTAACATTGTTTATATTATTAATATAAATTAAAAACAACAGGGGGCCGAGAATCGATCCTTGAGGAATTCCGTATGTTAGTTTAGCAGGCAAACTTACATGGTTTTCAATTTTGACTACTTGTTCCCGGCTTTCTAAGTACGACCTAAGAATTTTATGTGCTGTTCCTGATATTCCTGCATCTCTTAACTTGTTTAAAAGCATATTGTGGCTAATTGTATCAAATGCTTTTTTTAGGTCTATAAAGACACCTAGGACATATTGTTTTTTATCTATAGCATTTTTAATTTTTGTTGTTAGATCCATAGTAGCGGATAAAGTACTTGATTTTGGCCTAAATCCATACTGGTTCACAAAAAAGAAATTTGTGTCTGTAAGGTAGTTGTAAAGACGGATGTAAATAATTCTTTCAAAGACTTTGTCATTTTGAAATTAAAGTCATGAAATGCTTCTGACACGCTTACGACATGCTTTCTGACACATACACCACTACGCAGTGATCTACTGTATAGCAGCAGTATACTGATGGCGACGAGTGCGAGCTTGGCGCGTACCACCCGCGAGCTCACCGTCATCGGCGGATCAGCAGAGAAGTAGCGACAGAGTGTTTTTCCATAGTGAAAGTGTTCCGTGTCTCAGATCGAATCTGGCTAGTTTTAGTGCGCGTGAACTACATAAAGACCTTTCTTATTCACCATAGTTTATCGCGCGCACTAACGCGCGCGATAAACTATGGGGAACACTCAATAAAATAAACAAGTGAAAAAGTAACTAGGAAAATTAAATGTTTATATAATAATGTTATTATTTACTACAGATATTGGCCTGCAAACATTGTACTAGTTTATTTCATAAGCTATCATTTTACTTTATTTGGGATTATATTCTATCATTTCCATAGTTATTTTCTCCTGTGTGGGAGCATGGACTAGCAAACTCGCACATTCATAGTTGTTTACAAAATTAGCTTACGTGCACACATTTGTATCGCACACAAAAATTAAGTGTGTAAAATTATTAATTAAGTTTTTAAACACTTAATTTTTTTAAATCATTTAGTAGCAATAAAATCATCATTCGGTAAAGTTGTCTACTCATTTATCAAACTAGCAACCTATCAGTAATATGATGACTTCATCATCTGACCGCCCTACAGAGACAGTGGCCTGGTCCGATGACGAAGTCCCTGGTTGTGGAGTGGTCAGTACCTATTTTCGGCCATAGCCTGGGTGCTGTAGCTAAATGTTGCTTAAAGTGTAGTTTCACCCTGTTGTAAACTTTTTCGGCACTTTTGAAGTATCTGTGTTTGAAATAAGAAGACTTCTCTAAGTCATACTTACACAACTGTTTATGGTTATCCTGAAATTCATTATGATATTCCTGATATTCCTAACGCGTCCAACTTCCTCTTGATATAGTCAGCTATTCAGTTTTCCTACAGGATGCGAGGACCCGTTCCGTCTTCTCGACGAATTGCTCTTCATTTATAACGACGGCTTCGATTTGCGACATCGTGATTTGCTAGATAAATTAAAAGATCTTACTTGATATAACTGCAAACCCTTGAAGTTCTGCTCACGAAAAGCTGTTGTCCGTCGATAAACAGAATTATTTACTTGTTAGAACAATTCAGTTACGATATTTCCACTTTACACACGAAGGTCCGAAGGTCCGAAGGACCAACTATTTATTGGATTTAGCTAAGTCTAACTAAATCTAAAATGATTATGGATTGGGGTTGATGACACTTTTGTTAGGTCAACCGTTTGAGTACGAAGCTTGATATGTACTACCCATTTCTAGGTCCGGGTCCGGTCGGTAGGTGTGGTGAAGGATTAAGAATACAGAGTGTCACCACCCCTATTCATCCCGTGGGTGTCGTAAGAGCCGACTAAGGGAAAAAACTAAGCAGGACAACAGTACTGCAGAGAGAAGGAAAACTTGACACAAACCCTTTACCAACCCGTCTGGCCAGCGTGGTATAGTAGGCCAAAACCTCCTTTCTCAGAAGAGGCTTATATCCAGCAGTGGACTATTAAAGGCTGTTGATGATGATGACCCATTTCTAATTAGTAAAATGTAGGTTTTGGCGTAATATGCTGACACGGCAATGTGCGGGTGCATTGCCCGTACGGTATGAATCCCACTCACATAAGTTTTTTATTCCAAGAAAATATGAACTAAAACCCTTTGGATTTATTTTTGCTTTATATTTATATACTAAGCTTTGCCGGTTCAAAGACCAATATATTCAACTTCATAAGCAATCCAAACGGTGTGTGAAATAGAAAATAGCTCCCAATACTGTAAGACGTCGATTGTAAAAATAAAGTGATGAAAGATCGATATATCGCGTGGGTTGAAAGAGCTTTATGTGATAGAACGCGATTTTAAATATTCATACAGACATTCCGACATTCCACCATGAAAATATTATTCTTTAGCTTGACACAATTCACATAAGGCCATCTGATCCCAAATTCCATAGCATGCAACATCTTAGAAAAGAACGGAGACTACTTAGAAAAGCAATAAAAGTATTAACAGGTTTCTATATCATTAACTTATTTATTTCATAAAAACTTTTGGTGTGACCTCGAATATTAAATATCTTTTAAATGTAAACATAATTAAAGAATACTGTTTAATTAATAATGCTATAAATAAACAAAAACACAACACGACACAACTTTAAATGGAAAGGTAAAAACAGACAGAGCCACACAACGGAGCAAATGAAACGATTCAATATTTATTTGATAAATACGACAGCCGCCGGCAATCAGACGACTGGCGACGGTAACGAAGAGTACAACAGGAATAGATGAGGCACCCGAAGAAGGGGCTGACTATATCATTGGGCTCTCTTTATCATCATCATCATCAGCCTATCGCAGTCCACCGCTGGACATAGGCCTCTCCTATTCCACTTCGATCGGTTTTCGGCTTTTCAGCCTTTGCTAGACATCGTACGTAAATATCACAACTCCACCTGTACACTCCACCAGGCCTATGGGCGTCTTACACTGCCTTTGCCGAGACGTCTCCACTCAAGAACTCGTTTACCCCAACGGTTGTCGCTAATATGG